GCGGCGTCACGTGGGAACGTCGAGTCCCCCCCAACACCGCCCGCGCGGCCGCATTTTGGACCAGCTGGAGCCTCCGGGTGCTCAAGGGGAGCCCCATGTAGAGAGCATTACAGTAGTCCAGGCGGGAGGTGACAAGTGCGTGAGTGACCGTGCGTAGGGCGTCCCGGTCCAGAAAAGGCCGCAACTGGTGAATCAGGCGGACCTGATAAAACGCCCCCCTGGTCACGGCCGACAACTGGTCTTCCAGCGTCAGCCGCGAATCCAGGAGGACACCCAAGTTGCGTACCCTCTCCGAGGGGGCCAAAGTTTCGCCCCCTATAGTGAGCGATGGAATCAGCTGACTATGCCGAGGCGCCGGTAACCACAGCCACTCGGGTCTTGGACGGGTTGAGCCTGAGTCTGTTCCTCCCCATCCAGACACTCACGGCCTCCAGGTAGAGGACAGGAAGGCCTGGAGGAACGTTGTCCAGGAGGTCGCGATGGGTTGGACATGACTTCGCAACTAACAACAACCCCCCAAAATATAAAAGGAATAAATTGTTCCTATAGAAAAGAATCTGTAGCTCAGGTTGAACTGTGGACCCTGGTGCTCTCACAACTGTTTGCCTGCAGATGTTTCACTATCTAACTACAGGTAGTCCTCGACTTACGATGATAAGTGAGCCTAAAACGTATGTTGCTAAGTGAGACATTTGCTAAGTGAGTTTTGCCCCATTTTGTGACTGTTTGTGCCACAGTTGGTAAGTGAATCACTGCAGTTGTTAAGTTAGCAAGCCGGTTGTTAAGTGAATCTGGCTTCCCCATTGACTTAGCTTGTCAGGTCACAAAAGGCAATCACATGACCCCCCTCCCCCCGGGACACTGCAACCGTCATAAATACGAGTCAGTTGCCAAGCGTTTGAATTTTGATCACGTGATCATGGGGATGCTGCAAGGGTGGTAAGTGTCAAAAGTGATAATAAGTCGCTTTTTTCAGTGCCGTTGCAATTTTGAACAGTCACTAAATGAACTGTTGTAAGTCGAGGACTACCTGTAGGTAGCCCCATCAGCTAACAACCAAGCTCAGAGAGCACCAGGGACTCCACAGGAATGCCTGTGCTGAATCTAAGCAGTGCATTCATGCCACAGTAACTCAGATATGTTTAACAGGAAAGACTTTCCCTTATAAAACAGCCTGAGATCAGGAGGCAGCATGGAGGCAACTTTAATTCAAAAAGACTCAACAGGGTTGAACCCCAGTTCATTCTCGGATAGAAGATACCTGTGGCTTTAGGCTAAACTGGGAAGTAAAAAAAAAAAATCAACCAGGAATATAATATATAATGAAAAGCACTTTGTACTTCGGCCAAGAAAATTACACGGATGCTCCCATAGAGCTACCAGCAATATTTCAGTATGTCTTACCTTGCACACGTGGAATTATTATTATTATTTTTTGCTGGTGCAAACAGAATCTGTAGATGTCATTTTATGCCTTAATGATTCTGCTTGCACTAACGAAAAAAGAAAGGGAAAAAAAAATTCCACATACACAAACTGAGACATGCTGATTTTATTGCAATTACTGCATTACTTCTAGGTTCTCCCAAAAGCCTCTCTTGGAGGTAAGGATCAGAGCAGGCTGCCCCAAACGAAGATTTTTGGACAGTGATCTTACACCTACAAGAAAGATACACTAATTAGGACTGCTAGTATCCTTGACTTACAACCATTCACTTAGTGAATATTTGAATTTGCAACACAACTGAAAAAAAGTGACCTACAACTGGTCCTCACACTTACAACCACTGCAGCTTTCCCATGGTCACGTGCTCCAAAGTCAAGCGCTTGGCAACTGGCATATATACTGCACAAAAAAATAAAGGGGACATTTTAACATGGAACTGAAGGAGTTTGCGTTCCCTTTATTTTTGTGAGCAGTATATTTATGCCAGTTGCAGCAACCCAGGGTAGTTTGATCGCCATTTGTAACCTTCCCACCCGGCTTCTGACAAGCCAAGTCAATGGAGGAAACCTGGATTTGTTTAACCACGTTAATTCACTCACAGCTGCAGTGATTTGCTTTACAATCACAGCAAAACAGACTGCGAAATCGGGCAGAATTCGCTTAACCACCACCTTGCTTAGCAGCAGAAATTCTGGTCCCAATTGTGTTGTAACATACGTGTTGTAAATGGACGACTGCCTGTATACAGAAGATCTCCATATCAGAACTTTTTCTTTTTAGGGCAATTTTCTTTTTTGGTTTCATACGTCACCCATCTCTCCAATGTAGGCCCTTTTCGTATTTTATTTAATTGCGGAACTGGCTTTCTGGCAGCCACCAAGCAGTGTGTTGTCTTCACTGCTGATGCTACTCCGCTGCTTTATATGTTACGTGGAGAATTAAATTGGAATGCCAGCTTGGAATATTAGATAAGTGAGAATATATATCAAAAAAGACATTTGCTGCAGGAAGCCTCTGATGCCTTGAAGTGTCTCTGAAATTGCTGGAGCCGATTGTCCAGAATACTGGAACTGGACCAAGAGATTCAAAGCAGGCTCTGCCACAAAGGTCAGCGCTCAACTAATCATCCTGAAGTATTTTGGGAGTAGGAGAGCTGCAATTGGTTATTTACTCTGTTTTGACTGCTCTTGTAGTACAGGTAGCCCTCAATTTACAACCATTTGTTTAGTGACCGTTCGAAGTTACAACGGCACTGAAAAAAGTGACATATATCCATTTTTCACACTAATGACCACTGCAGGATCCCTGTGGTCACATGTTCAAAATTCAGATGCTTGGCAACTGACTCATATCAGGGTGATCCCTGATCTCCCTTCCTTCCGCCGCGCCCTTAAGACATGGTTATTCCAGCTTGCGGGACTGGCCTAGGGGAAAATTTTTAGAGGGGGTTTTAAAATAATTTTAATTAGACCAATTATTAATATTTGCCTTTTAATTAAGTTTTAATCTGTAGTTTGATATTTTGTATTTTTATCTGGTTGTTAGCCGCCCTGAGTCCGCAAGGAGAAGGGCGGGATATAAATATATATAAATAAATAAATAAATAAAATGACGATTGCAGTGTCCGGGAGTCAGGTGATCCCCTTCTGCG